TTATCCTCAAGCAAAATTCTTTTCTTTTCTACATGAACAGATATCTTCAATTAAAATTTTGACATACACTTTCATTTATCTCTCTTGCAACAACAAAAATAATTCTTAATATTCGCAAACAAATTCATTGTTCACGACACCATAATTGAATCAAACCCTTTACTCTCAGGATTGGTGTTTCACTCTTGTTGCTCATAATGTATTAGCTTATGTTTAACTCTCTTAAATGCTTTTATTGTCATTCTTTAACATAGTTTTGGCATTTTTCTAGCTCACATCTATCTAAGCAATTTGTCGTAATCAAGAGGACTTTATAAAGGTTGAAACGTGGTCAGAGCTCAGGTGGGAAAATAATTTAGTTTCTGGCTATTTCCTATGTTAAAGAAAATATGAGGGATAACTAAAAAAATCTAAAAATTGGGATAATTGCTTGTAATTCCTCATTGGATATTTTCAAATTTTTTTCTTCATTACAATGACAGAAAACAATAATTTTCCTTTTGTAATTTCACTTCTCATCTCTGTTCTCTTTTTTTTAACAAAGAAGAAGAAGAGGACTTGAATTCAATTCGCTTTTTCCAGTATAAGCTGATCATAACAGTTATCCTAACAAATAGCAATATAGCAAAGCAACTCAAAACTTAAAAGTATTTGATAGTGAAATACCCAAACTTAAAAGCAAATAGTGAAATCCCCAAACTTAGATTTTCTATGTTAAATCCAAAATGGTGCTCATATTTGCTAAGTCATAAGGCAGGATAATTAGTTTTTCACTTTTGGGTTTATGAGTGATATTAGGACAGAAGAAAACTGGTTAGGCTCAAAGGGCTAAACAAGAGATGGAGTAGAGGGTGGCTATTTGGCTAATGAACTGATTAAGCAATAGTGCCTTAATCATATTATAACATAAAAGTATGATAAGAGGAAAAAGAAGAATAACAAAATTTGTAAAGAATAACAGTGATCACAGTAAGCATGCACTCAGCAAGAAAATTATCAACTCAATTACTAACATGGTAAAAATTTGAAATTTAAAACAACATGATGTTCAACAATGTATTCAAAATTTGTTGTGAATTATTAGGCTTTGTGAGTTATGCAAGATAGATGTGGGTATTCACAGATATGGGTGAGATTCAACAAAATACAGCAAAGGAAATTTATACATAGGGAGAAAATTGATATGGAGCATGTGCAAAGAATTGCAGTAAACAATAAATTCAGAAAGGGGCTCCCCTATGTATTTAGAGCAGTCAGAGGTGTGGAATTTGCCTTTTGCGCCCCTGGAATATGACAAAGGCATAGAAAAACAGCAAGCACACTAATTATATAAATTGGAAATTAATGAATTGTGCATAGGTAACAAAGTGCCCCAAAATTAAAACATTTGTCCTGGAAATAACAACAAAAAGAAAGGAAAAACAAATGTAAAGAAAGCAAAAGTGCAGCAGTGCATTTGATTCAAATTTCTTCCTTTGGTTCATCTTCTTCTGTAGGATCTTCTTCACACATCAAGCGCAGTAACTCAGCACAGGATGGGCCCTCTTATTCAGCATCGTTGACTTGCAAATCTTGGGCAATTTTGTCTACCTTTACCTCTAGGTGCACCATTCCCTGCATTAACAGTTGTGCTTGTCTGGTGGTCATCTTATGCAACTGTGTTATTCCACTGAAAACCAGATTAAGTTGTTGCTTGCTTGTTATGTGGGAAGAAGTGGAAGTGGAGGGTCTTGATGGAGAAGTGGTTGCTGATCTTCATTTAGGTCATCTGGTGGCATGTTTAGCAATTGTATCAATGGTGGAGGCTGTGATCCATTTGGGCTTATAGACTAGTATGTTATTGGGGTCAATAGGAACCTTAGACTCTTCACATAGCAGTGTAATTAATGAGGGGTAAGCGAGGAATCTTTGATTCTCGTCTTCCATTATTTGGTGCAGTTGTTGATAAATTACCTTCTCCACGTTAATGTCAATTTCCATTATGATGCAATAAAGCAAACAAAGTGAAGATTTTAGAAATAAGATTACTAATCAAATGAAGTTAAGGTTGATTTTATCTATTTGTCATTTGCAAAATTGAATGCGATCAAAATTTTTAAGTTCTTAATTGATTGACGATCAATTTCATTAGGTTAATCAAAATTAAATGCCTTGACTTAATGATCTTAATATTTAATTAATTATCCTAATTCCTTAAGTGTGAATCAATCAAACATTGCATTATGCACAAGAAATTAAGAGATCATAAGACAATAAATGTTTATTCTTAAGATATCATAAATCTTGACATTCAATTCAGATATGAAAATTACTCAACTTCCATTGATGTTAATTCTCTAGGTTTAATTCAATTGAATAGCTTATCCAAGAAATGCATTAAGGAAGAAATTAAATGTTCATATCTACTGTGTTATCATATCTGTTACTAAGTGGATGACTATACTAGATATGGATTATGTAATTGCCTCAAGGTAACATAGTCCTTGTCCATATTTCAATTCTTGAATTTACGAAAAATTTTTCCTCTCAAAAGTTGACTACTACTATCTCATGTAAATTATCACATGATATCTATGGGTTTGTCCACAACTATAATTTTGTTTAGGTATAACTCTCACCAAATCTTTTTAAATAACTAGTTTAATGCTACAAGCCACATATGTGCATTGGGTGATTAATGTGATTGTATTTTGTAACCAATTATAAATATTTTTGAAAGATAATTCATCGATACCTCACGCTACTCTTCAAAGGCACAAGTATTGACATACTACATCTTGTGCATGAGAATCTACATATACTAATCATATACAATAGTTTAATTCATTATTTGTACATATGCATCAACAAACCCTCCTAGAAATTGCTCTATCGCTAGCTCAAAAGAGCTTGCAGGAACCTCTTCCTACTATATAACGATTTTGTCATACATTACGATCTTTCTATTCCATAACAACATGTGGACGTTCTCTATGTATAGAAGTTATAGGACATGTGCGTTCTCTTTAAATTCTGAAGTTGAATTTCTAAAAATTAATAAAACATGCTTCCAAAAATTAATTCCAAAAAAATAACTTCCAAAATTTATTTTTTAGAAGTCATTAACACAAGACTACTCACCTACTCGAAACAATTTTTTTAGACGAGGAGTAATGAGAAATTATACCAAATTAATAAATAATTTACGTGAATTGAAGGATTACATGAAAATGTTGATAGATTGGTAAAAAAAAAAAAAAATGGTTTGCTAGCATAGAAAACTAGAAAGTAAAGGAAAAGAAGAAAACGAGAGATGGAAGTTTAAAAAAATTTTATACAAGTTTTGTTTTTTCAAGTATAAATTAATTTTACAAGAAAACATTTAAGATAAGCAACAATTTTATTTAAAGGAGAGTTAGAAGCACACTTTTTTTTAACATATTTTTAATTATTGAATAAAATTTATTTAAAAAATATAAAAATATGAGAGAGAATTATTAAATTAAGAATGTGAAAGAAAAAAATTCACATAATTTTTAAAGCTCATTTAGTTTGAGAAAACAATTTTTTTTATAAATAATTATAAAATACCATCTTATTTTTAGTTCACTCCTTATTTTTAAATATTTATATAAAAATAGCTTAGTTTTTATTTTCATTATTTCTTATACAAACTTTAAAAAAATAAAAAACCATAACATTTTTTGTAATTTCATGAAAGAAAGAAATAAACCAAAAAAGAGAAAAAAAAAAAAAAAAAAACGTTTTCTTATACAGAGCAATCATCTCACTACTCAGAATTTATTGATCTCTCATACTAAAAAATAGGTAGGAAAATCCTAATAAAGCATTACATATTTGACAAAACAGATTCAGTATATATGCGGGTGCATTACATAAAGTTGAACAATCTTTGTCTTCAAAATTAAAAGTTAATAATAGATATTGAACATTATTGGCTGGTAAATGATTTCAACAGAGCTTCCTGGTTCTTTCACATTCTAGTTTCGCGAAGACTTCTGAAAGTCCTGTTCCGCGAGACTCAGTCAGGAACTATAACCAAACTAGAAAGTTGGAACTCAGGAACTATGATTCTACTTAACACATCTCTAAATTTCCAAATTGTAATGCTAGTTGACCCAACGTAGCTCTTCTTTTCCCTGCCAATTCCATGTATTTTATTTATCATACTCATGTTTTCTTTTAACATTATATCTTCATAATGCTCTTTCATCAAACAAACTGTTAGAAGATAACCTATTGGTTTTGTTTGCCACGTTGACATGCATATTAGCAGATAGCCATAACCAAACAAGTATACTTAGTCCACCAGCAACATAGTGTAAACACTTTACTAGCATGTTTGGTTTTGGGTTAAAATGGATATGAATTCACGTTTAATATGACGCTACCAATTGTAGCATCTGAGTTGGATCGACATTTAAAGTAACATGTTTTCAAGCACACCCTACGTCTCTTTCTATTACATCACATTAATTATTATTACTTTTGATACTTTTTATAATTATAAGTAACAAAAAGACTAAATCACCAAAATTAAAAAAAATAATTAAGTCAGTTATGTTTTTTATTAAATATAAATTTTATTCTAAGAATATCCATGATATTAAAAAATGTAGTTAATAATTTATATATTTAATGATACTAATAAAAAAAAGTATAATTTTTTTTTAATAATTAATACATTTTAAATTTATCATTTATTTTTTATAATAAGAACTAAGAAAATACTTCATTTTGTTTGGACCAAAGGCTATATCCATCACCTCTCTCTTTTCTATTCCTTTCTCTCTCTAGTTGTAGGTTTCTAAGAAACATTTTCCTACATACTTACTACAACCTTACTTTGCTCAAACAACAGTTTAGTATGTTTGATTGTGGTAGCAAAAGCCGCACAAGTCTTGGACAACCATCATGCCCACCCAGAATGGTTAACCAGAAGCTTAAAGTCCCAGCTGAGCCTGCTTCTTCTTCCTCTTCTGCAGCACCTCTTAAAAGACATGATGTTTCCATTAGTTTTAGAGGTGAGGATACCCGGAACAACTTCACAAGCCACCTTCATGCTGCTTTTCACCGCAACAAAATCCAAACCTTCTAGATCACAGGCTTCCCAAAGGGGATCAGGTCTCTCCCTCGATTGTCAAAGCCTTCAAAGAGTCCACCTATCTGTGGTTGTTCTCTCCAAAGACTATGCTTCCTCCACCTGGGGCTTGAGTGAACTTGCCAAAATAATTGAACAAAAGAAACATGGTGTACACGTTGTTATACCCGTGTTCTATAAGATTGATCCTTCCCATGTGAGGAAGCAGACAGGAACTCACAAGATAGCTTTTGAAAAATATGAAAGAGATGTTAACCATAGCATGGCCAAGTTGTTGAAGTGGAAAGCTACTCTCACTTGGGTGGGAATCAAGGAATTATCGGTAACTAAACCTTTTGTTATTTTTTGGAAAATAGAAGTACATCTTTGAAGCGGTATCTATAGCAATTAATTAGTTTTATCTATTTCTTTCCCTCGGGGAAAAACTCAGATTAGATATGTGCAGTTTGAAGTGTCTAGTGGATGATCATTGTGATTTTTTCATTCTGACATGGACATTATACTTCTCTCTCTTTCCCTCGGGGGAAAAACTCAGATTAGATTTGTGCGGTTTGAAGTGTCTAGTGGATGATCATTGTGATTTTTTTCATTCTGACATGGACATTATACTTCTCTCTCCTGTTTTCCTACTTGAAATGATAAGTGATAAGGTTTCATAGTATAACTTATTGTTAGTGATCAAGTCATCACATCAAGATGTCTTCTCACTTCTAATACTTCAATACATTCTTCTCTCTTTTTTTTCAAGGTAAATAACTATGTGACTAAGTTTTACTTGAGATGAATATTTTATATTCTTTTCTTTTTATGCATGCTAGGACTGAATATGATTGAGGATATTTTCACAGATGTTATGCAAAAACTGAATCGTATATATCCCACTGACATAAAAGAACTTGTTGGAATTGATCAAAATGTTGCTCCTATTGAATCATTATTGAGAATCAGGTCAAGAGAAGTTCGCATAATAGGGATTTGGGGCATGGGTGGAATGGATAAAACAACCATTGCCAATGATTTATTTGCCAAATTTTCTTCTCAATATGAAGGTAGAAGCTTCTTGGCAAATGTAAGGGAGGAATTTGAAAAGCATGGACCTGTTGCTTACGTGATAAACTTCATTCTGAGGTACTAGAGGATTTGAATCTCCATATTAGCATCCCCGCAGTGAGATCCACTTTAGTTATGAGGAGGCCTAGCCAAAAAAAGGTTTTGACAGTTCCTGATGATGTGGACAATCCAAAGAAACTAGAACATCTTGCTGCACTACATGAGGGCATAATCTTAGATGTGCCTAAAATAAGAGTCTTGTCCTTGAGCTACGAGACCTTCTCAAGGATGATCAATCTAAGATTTCTCAAATTCTATATGGATAGGGGCAGAACATGCTTCTTCCTTCAGGTCTTGAATCATTGTCTAGTAAATTAAAGCACCTACACTGGGATGGATACCCTTCCAAGTCTTTGCCATCAACTTTTTGTACGGACAACCTTGTCATGCTTTCCATGATGGGAAGTCATGTTGAAAAACTTTGGGATGGAATCAAGGTAATTTCTTTTATAATTCAGCCCAAGGTCAAGCTGTATGCTTGTCTATTTATGCCTTGCCTTTTCACTTTGTTACTGCAGAGTCTTGCAAGCTTGAAAGGGAGCAACCTCCGTGCATGCAAGAATTTAACTGACCTCCCAAATTTTACGCTAGTGCCAAATCTTGAAATTGTTGATGATTCTCATTGCACTAGTCTGCTTCATGTATCCTCATCCATCCAATATATCAAGAAGCTTATTTTGTTTAACTTAGAATCCTGCAAGAATCTTAGTAGTCTTCTGGGAAACGTTCATCTGTTCTCTCTTGAAATGTTCATTCTCGAACACTGTTCAGGTCTTGGTGAGTTTTCAGTATCTTCAGAGAACATGATAGGCCTGGAGTTAAGAGAAACAGCAATAGCATATTTCCCAGAATCAGTTTGGCAGCATCTGAACCAGCTTGTTTACTTGAATCTGGAATCTTGCAACAAGCTCAAGCGTCTTCCAAGCAACATTCACTTAAAATCTCTTCAAAGACTCAATCTTAGAGATTGTTCAAGTCTTGAGGTGTTTTCTGTGACTTCAGAAAACATGGAATACCTGAATTTGAGAGGGACATCAATAAAATAATTGCCAACATCACTTTGGCATAATAATAAGCTTTTTACTTTGATTCTTAGTTCCTGTACAAGACTTGTAAATTTTCCAGACAGACCAAAACTTGATGAATCGCCTCTCGTCTTCAATGTTCTATACTCATCTGAAAGACCAAATCTGGATGAACCATGGTCTTTGTCATCCTTAACGGATTAATCACTGAAAGGAAGCTGTATTGAGAATTTACCAGCAAGCATCAAAGATCTTCCTAGCCTGAGAAAGCTTACCTTGACCAAGTGCAAGATGCTTCGGTCTCTACCAAGCCTCCCACCATCCTTGGAAGACTTATCCCTAGATGAAAGCAATATTGAGTGTTTACCTGTGAGTATCAAAGATCTTTCTCATTTGAAAAAACTTACCTTGGTTAACCACCACAATAAACTTTTGTCTCCACCAGAGCTTCCCCCTTCATTGAAAAATACATTACTAAATGGAGGTAAAATTGATTCCTATCTTGCGAACATGAAAGGTCTTTCACATCTACGAATGTTTCCTATGATCAAGTGGAAAAGGTTTCATTCTCTACCAGAGCTTCCACCATTCTTGGAAGAATTTTCACTACATGAAAGCAATATTCAGTGCATACCTGTAAGCATCAAAGATCTTTCTCATCTGAGAAAACTAGCATTAATAAAGTGTCAGAGGCTTCATTATTTACTGGAACTTCCACCATTTTGGAAGTTTGTCTGTAAATGGATGTAATACTGAGAGCTTGCCAATGAGTATCAAAGATCTTACTCATTTGAGAAAAGTTACCTTAATTGAATGCAAGAGGCTCCAGGCTTTACCAGAGCCATCGCCATGTCTACAATTGTTCCATGCAGCAGACTGCACATCACCTGAAATTGTTCAAAGTGCAAAGGCTGTCTTCATTGAAAATAGACACGTGTTCTATTACAATTGCATAAACTTGGATCATGATTCATGGCAAAAATATCATTGCAGATGCACCCTTTGAGGAAGCCTATACTCTTTTGCAAGAAAGAATACCTCTAAGTCCTCTCATTTCAATTTGTTTGCCCGGAACTGAAATCCCAGACTGGTTCAGCTACCAAACAACAAATTCTTCACTGGACATAGAAATTCCTCAAGAGTGGTTCGCTGATTCAACGTTCTTGGGTTTTGCTCTATGCCTTGTAATTGGTGGCTTTCATCAAAACAGTTATGAAGGCTATGATCCAGATGTCAACTGTAATCACTTTGTGAAGTCTGCCTGGAACTCGGATCCCAGTTTTCCATTTCTTGGCCATTGCACAACTGTAATGTTGGTGCCACAAGGTTTTAATTCAGATCATATATTCATATACTATCTTTTAATGTCCCCATCCTGCTGCAAGATTTGAAGGATTTGGCCTTGTACTATGATGCAAACAACTTAACACTGAGAGTCATATTTAAATTAAAGGGTCCATCTCAACAGTTGGACATCGTAAATAAGTGTGGGGTCAGACCACTATTGATTGCTAATACTGTAAGGGTTCACATTGAAAGTGAACTACAACCTGAAGAGAAGTATGAAACTGAAACTGGGAATTTGATGAAATATATAGGTTGTAAGATGAAAAAGAACCACAATTACAACCTGAAGTGAATGAAAGGAATTGTATTCAGTGGTTGCTGAGTAATAGTAATAGTATAACGAATTGTATCCATTTAGAACATTTTATATGCCAAATGCATCGTAATGAAATTGGTATGGAGTAACTAATCATTGTTTTTGGTCTTATGGAGTAACTATTTGAATGAACAGGTAATTTTCCAGAAGAGCTTTTAGGAATCCACTGGTAATCCATTATCTTGATCTCATTCCCTGCAGAGGTTCAAAATGGTTTATCTGATACACAGTAGTCCCAGTGAGCTGCTATGATACAGCAATCTGCCATTTTGAAGGTGACCAGATAAAGATGAAGGACTTGAAAAAAATGCCAAAATTTCATTTACCAGCTCCTTACCACTTTTAAATCAACAATCATTGTTGCAGTGCAAGGTTCCATGATGAGATTCAAACTTGAGATCTGATATTTAATTCAAGTAACATCAACTACTACATCCTAGGCTGAATCAAGTCAAATAGCTTTGATTTGATACATACTTTATTATTGGATAAATTTGATTTGATCCTCGCTTAATAATTTGGGTTCATTCTCTTTTCAGTGGGACTCAAATAAAATGCCTCATAATAGAGTTTCTCTCCAATGTCTTGAATTGTTTCTATCTAACAACAAAGATAAAGAGAGTTCCAATGTCTAGAAGAGTAATGCGCAACAACAAATGAAGAAATTAATAATAACATACTCTGTTTCTTTACTGACTAATAAAAAAATCACTTATCCATTGCAATTCCACCAAAATTGTGCAGTGATGCACAATGCATCTCTAATGTATAATACATTGTTAGAAATAATAAGTCAGGATCATTAGATAACACTTGTTTTGTTCTATAACGTTTTCAGTATATCTTAGATCTCTCCTAGTAGTGGGGCTTCAACCTGGTAATTCACTACAAAGATACAATAAAATTGTACAATTACATGAACAAGAACCTGCCAATGTCTTCTGGACTGCAATTTGCATGAAATCTCAATATAGAATAGTGTAGTTGACATTCACAGTAATTCCAAGCATCGGATACATGCATAATTCATAAGCCTAGTCACAAGGCTATCTGGTTCTGGGATAAGAGCAGATGTAAAGCTGTTCCAGAAATGAAATGTCAATGACTCATGCAGGATTTTTTCAAGCAGAACATCTTGTACAGCTTTCTCAGGCTCCGTTGCCGGTGCAATAAAGTATCTGTTTGGGGTTTAATTCAATAGAGGTACACGAGCACAAAAACAAAAGCAAAAGGCAAGGCAGTTAATCACTCTCCAAAAATAGACTAGACCAATAAAGCTAACCAGTGAAAAACGCCTTTACAAATATCTCTAGTTAAGCCTATGCCAATGAATTGAGAGATAAGCCAATTTACCTTGTGATGTTCTGAGAACTAATAGGGAAGAAGATATAAGAGGGTTCCACTTTCAACTCCAACTGCTTAATAGATTTATTCTCCTCTTCCAAAAATTTTCTGGCAACCCTTGTCAAAAGATCAGCACCATTCCCTCTCAAACTGGTATCGTCATATGTCATGTAGAACTCTTCCAAGCACTTCTTTATGAACAAACTACATAGAACAAATAGTCAATCCTAAAGAAAGTTCCATACTTTGCATAGCAAAATAATTGTATCTGTGTATCTATCACATCTATTGCTTGAATTTATTACAAAAAGGCATGGCAAATGTTTATTTAAGTTTACTCATGCACAGTTGTCACATCCTCGAGAAATACTCTAAACTAAAGGATTATAAAACAAATTGAGACTAACTCAAACACACAAGGATATTATGGAAGGTGTATCCAACTACAACAACTAAGTCTTATCCCATTAGGGGAGTTTGGCAACATGATCAAACTGTCAGTAATGGGTTTGTTAAGAAGAGATGCAAGAGAACAAACATCAAAAACAACTCTGTCCGATGAAGAAAATGTTGGTCCATGATAGAAAATAATTAGCACATTCATGACCCTAATTTCAACAGCTTTGTTGGAAAACATGTTTACAGAGAGAAATAATTCTATATAGATAGAAACCATGCTAACAATACCTGTGCCTTCGAAAAGCCATCACAGCACCATTCAAAGCACTTTGAGCACCATGATCCTCCATACCAACAGAATTATTAAGAAAAGAAATTGGCTTCAAAACTATGATATCTGAATCTAGATAGGTCCCACCATACCTGATAAAACAGAAGAGAATGTCATTGTCATGTCTGATCCTTGCAATTTCTCATGAAATAAAAAACATTATGTTGAAATTGGAACACATCACAAAATTATTATATAAATACAACTAAGCAATCACTGCCTACAACCCAGCAAAACCGATAAAACTTACTTGTACAGAGCAGCAAGGCGGATAAGCTCACTGTAATGAGTAGAATAGAACTTTGTCTTTCTCCATTCAAACCAAACAGAAGAAAATATATGAGCTGGCGTATCCTTCAGCAGCTCATCAAGATTCGGCATAGCAACAGCAACTTTATAACTGATCATAAAAGCAATTCCACAAAATTAATACAACACAGTAACTCGCTCAACACGGAAGATAAAGCCAGGCCAAGAGAGGGAACAATTACCCGTCCTTGACAAAGTTATCTTTGAAGAAATCAAGCTCAATCGTCTCAGAGAATACCACAACACAAGCACCGGGATGATGAAAGAGCAAACTCTCAAGGCCGCGCTGATGCCTCACCGTATACATCCAAGGCGGTGAATTCCACACCATAAACACCCTCGTAACGCATTTACCAACCCTGAAAAAGGCTTCCATGAAGTCCTTGAACGACAAATGCAGAGGCAATCCAGGATAGTACCCCCAACTATTCCCATCCGCATATATATGATTGTTCTGAAAGTCACGCCTATCATCAATGACATTTTCCTTAATTCTAATTTCATCGCCATTGGCAACAGAATTCATATCTTTCTTAACAAACTCATCATCATCATTATTATCATTCAAAGTCCTTCTCTCTGTTCCTGCTTTGGTGACACTAATTGGAATCTTCTTGTGACCAGGGAAGGGAACTCTCTTGAACTCGTTAATCCACCACTTTTGCAGAATGCGGTCACCGCGGGTGAGGCTAGTGACGCCGACGCTGTCGGGGTCTTGAAGCAAGGGGTTGTTGAGGGGATTCAGGACATCGAAATTGGACCTAAACATTCTGTCCTTTCTCAGAAACAAGGCTTTCTTGTCGAACCACTCGCCCCAGCCTTCTCTGAGGTGAGAGTTTTTTAGCAGAAGCGCATCCTCGATGGCGGTGACGTGAGACGCAGTGGTCCTGAGGAGGCCGTCGACGGGGAGGTCGTCGGAGGCAAAGGCGGCCTTGGACCGGTGGTCGGGGGCGGATCGAAGGGGGAAGAAGTCGTCGGAGAGGGAGTCCCATTGGTGGAGGGAGGAGGGGAGGAAGGAGCGGCGGATGGCGGCGGAGAGAGGGTCGAAGAAGAAGGGGGAAGGGTTGAGGTGAGGATGGTGGTCTTGTTGTTCGTCGATGAAGTCGAGTTCGTCGATGGGGTCGTCGGGGGCCGAGAGATCGGTGTCATGAGAGAGGAGGATGGGTTGGGGAAGGTGGTTGGAGTGAGGGTGGGAGCGAGAGAGGCGAGAGTAGAGGAGTGAGACGGAGAGGAGGAGGAGGATGGCGGCGATTACGGCGCAGAAGTAGGCGCCGTAAGGGGAGCGCCGCCGAGATCGTAGCATTGGATTATGTCTATGTTTATAGTCTAAAACACATTTTTGTTTAGCTCTCTGACTCTCATCATCTTCTTCTTCTTCAATTAGTTTCGTCTCTTCTCTTCAACCTTCAACCTTCAACATCGGTATCGCTGTTATGTCAGCTCGCTTTACTTGTATAGTACAGTTGTACTATTCCTACACTTCAGATGACCAAATTATGTCAGACACCAAATTTCGCACAACTTGGATTCATTTTTTGGATAAATTAGGTTCAGATACATTTTTTTAATAATCTATTTAATTAAAAAAAATACATTATCCAACTTTTTTTAAGTTTAATAAACAGATTTAATTAAGTATAATTTTTTATTATATTTTTATTTTTTAATATAATATTTAAAGATTATATTGTTTTATTTAAAGATTTAAATGCATTGATTTACATACAAGTTTTAGAATCTTTTGTTCATTTTTCAAATTTATTTTAAATTTTTTTATTACAAATTAAACTTTTAAACAAATTTATATCAAGTTTAAAAGAGATTTAAGCCTTCAATTTAAAAATCAAATCAAAATTATTGGACTTTATAAAATTTAACTCAATCCTATTTATTTCCATTAATAAAAAGGTTTTCTTACAAATAACTGAATACCAAGCGCATAGAGATTATATTTTCAAGCATCACAAAAATTTTAAACATGTAACAATATTTAATAAAATAATAAATATAATTAAAATTACTCGTGCTTATAATTGTTAGTTAAAATTAACTTTAACCTCTTCTAGTAAAATTTCTCCTATAATTAGAACCTTGACAGGAAAAAATGCTGATAAAACACTTTTTAATTTTTTTATTATTAGTTAAATTTATTATATTTTATAAAATTGTGTAAAACTCATTAAATAAGAAACAAATTCCAGCCTTATGATTTCAATAAATCTTAACCAATAATAAAAAACATTTAAAAGAAATATTAGAGTACAATCATAACAATTCGCTAAAAGAGAATAATAACATTTCTTACATTGTCAACATGCAGCATATTGACAATTTTTAAAACAAATAAATGATTTTACGTTGGATTTTAAAAAACAATCATAGTTGAACATAACAAAAGATGAAAACAAAATAAATAGAAATGCCCAAAACTTATCAATTTGTTTTATTCTTGCACTTGTCTCTCCGATAGTTTCAAGATATACACAGAATAAAATCAGTTCGGAAGCAGAATAAAATGTACTCCGTCTATATCCATGTTTCGAAAGTGAGCGTTGAACTTCAAATAAAACTATCGGAAGGAAAGAAAATAATAAACGAAATTAAAATCACAAAAGAAGGACCTCTATTAATTGAGTGATCTAGATGATACTGAATAGTGAATACACGCTGACCTTAAAAAGGTGCTAATTTCAGGGAGGGTGTAGGGCATTTTCCCCACTACTAGTTCTTTTTTTTTTTTTTCTTTTGTCAACTCCCCCCTACCAGTAAATCACAGGAACAGCAACTGTCAAATATGGGAAAAGCAACCGACAGGCATGAAATTCAGCAGCAACACTTTATGGTAGTTATGCTGTAGTCAATTGCATGGAATAAAAAGATCATGGAGAAGCATCTGCCTTTCTTCTTATCAAGTAAAAGGATAGAAGTTTGAAAACAGTAAACTGCCAAGAAAAATATATGTTACAGAGTATGCCCATATCATGTATCCCCATCTATAGCATTTTGCAGGATAAGTCATGATAGATGAAGCAAACCAATACAGAGGAGGGCTGGCAGACAAGAAACGAGTAGCCACCTGTTAAACGTCAATCACCATTAGTTACACTTCATCATTCTCAAATAACAAACGGACATGACAGAAATTGATTAAAGGTCCAATGAGTAAGAGTAAAGTGGGATAGCAGAAAATGAACGATTGAAAATGAAAGGTGCATCTATACTTTTCTTGTGACCAAATACTATGTCAACTTTCATTCCCTGTTTTTACTAGGTAACCAAGTTAGAGTATTTAAGCAGTATTCAGGACCAGATCTCCAAATAGATGATGATTACCAGAAGCTCAAGTTAACACTCATCAGTTCCTCATATTTAGCTCTCTTAACATTAGAAAGGGAAGTCAAGAAGACAGTTGACACTAACCTGTACATGCATGACGAAAAAAGCAGTGCCTGCCATGAATCCCAAGTGTAACACAAATGGGAGAACAGATGCAGACAAGTATCCTGGCCTGGCTGGTGGCTCAGATTCTATGGGAGCATTAGCAACATCTCCTTCGATCAGATTCTTTCTCCTCCTCAGATTAAAATGTTCTGTTACAGGAGTGAGTACTGTTAAGGTTGTAATGATAGTTAAGTATAAAGCCTGAATATATCTCCTAACACACAAGACTATACATGCTTATATGCTGCATAGAACAATGGATTAGGGAATTACGCATAGCTAAAACTGTACATATATCACCAACAGGAATGACCAGACAAACACAAAAATAGAAAACAGCACCGCCACCACATAAAAACTGTCAAAGTGGATGATTCACTGTGCCCAAGTCAGCGAATTATTTATCACCATTCCTCAGAAAGCAATCTACTTCCACGTATGCAACATTAGCAAAACAATTATCTGTTTGAGAATTATACCTTTTACCCTAGCAGAGGATTTCTCCACAATGCCATCTTCTTTGGACCTCAAGATATCATCTGACAAAAACACAACTCCACTGCTCTTTTCTTTCATAGTAGTTTGAAAACCAAGCGAGATGAAGTCCCAAGGCCTTGACTTAGCATAATGGATAATTGAGCAAAGTGCCAAAGACAGTATTGGTGATGCAAGAAGAAAGTTAGGCAACTGTTTCAGCTGAAAATATCTCAAGAAACCTACATCCCTGAACAATCAGAAATTAACAATTGTCATCAGAAAATCTGAATATATAAACATCCAACACATGATAACAGGTTGCATAGCTAGAGTATAATAATTTAGCCAATAGCAAGCTTCAGCATAACAAATCAACAAAACTTTTGAAACCTAAAAAACAAACATACCAATAATGACTTTGAATGTAATTGTAAAGTAACGGTATTCTTGCCTTGCACCAGGGCCTCATTTCATCAGGAAAACGCCCAACACACATGGTGTAATAGCCATAAGACTGGAAAGCTACAAATGGAGCAAAAATACATGCACTACGTAAAGCTCCAACAATAACAATCTGCAAAGCCAACTGCCAAAAATGACAAAGAATCAATAAAAAATTCCAGTTCACAATACAAACTAACAATGTTTTAAATCTTAATCCAGTTTACCCCAAATACTTAAGTTATCTTTACTAAAAAAAAAAAAACTTAAGTTATGCCTATACATCAGTTTACAAATGTTTCTATAGCACACAGTACTGCTAGGTACATTCATTTGAGTAGTGGTAAGAACACCCTCTTGAACATAATTTTTTTAACACACTTTTATTTATTAGTTGAAATGTATTATAAATTAGGAATGCGACTTAAATTCCTTTTAGTAAATAATAAAATGTAATTGAATAGAGTGTATTGGATGCATTTCTACATTGAGTATATTGATTTTCCACTCTATGACATATTACAAGAGGAGATTAACAAAAGAAAGGCGGAAGGACTCACAGTAACACGTTTTTTCTGAAACAAAGCATGATGAGCGCGATGCATGGTTTGAAAGCAGAGATAGCCAGCATTGAGCACACCATTAGATCTGGCGCAACCAGAGAGAGCGAAGAAAAGAACGGCTAGATTATTTCGAGAAGAGACAAAGTGGTACAATCCTCCCAGAGAAAGAAGAGCGTACAAACTCTCCGAGTACATGGAAGAATAGAATATAGAAGCAGGGTTGAAGCAGAACAAAACGGTGGCTCGAAGAGCTATTTCGGGGTCGTTCAAGATGGTTAGGGAAAGTTTGTAGAAGTAAAGAGAGGCGAGTATGAAAGCGAGGTTGTTGATGACGTAAGCGAGTAGGGGCGGTTGAGAGAGGAAGGAGAGGGCGCGTGAGGAGAGGGGAAGGAGGGGTAAGAAGGCGAAGGATTGTTCGTATTCGTAGCCGCATTGGGCGATGCGGATGAAGTAGACGGAGTCCCAAACGACGGCGTTTTGGAGGGGGGAATTGAGGGTGGTGTTGGGAGCGGAGAGGCATGGAGGGTTTAAGGGTGCGGAAGTGTCGTAAGGGGAAAGGATAGTGCGGAAGAGGATTATTAGGGTTAGTAGTAGGAGCCTTGAATATATTGCTGATTTCAATACCAGTGATTGGTGGTGGTGAGGAGGAGGATGATGGTCTGATGAACATGTTTCCACCATTTTCGAATCAGAATGAACCCTGCGATCAGCGATCCCGCTATTCAATACATGCTAGTGTTTGTGCTTGGAAGAGGAATAAAGAATTGAAGGGGTGTTTGGATTGTATGCGAAGATGGAGAAAGAAAGGTTATTAATTGACATTAGGAAGTGAGGTGTAGAACATTTGAATTGGAAGAGGGCAAGAAGGAAAAGCGGAAGTAGAAGTAGAAGAGCATGTGTTTTGTGAAACATGACATTAGATTCACTTAAATGAATATAATTTCTTTAACCGAATTTTTATGTTTTTTTTTTAATTTATTGCTTAAGTAAATTTTAATTCACTTAAACAAAATAAAATTGGATAGTTTAATTTTTGCCATAGAAAAAAATTTAGCTTCATATTCTACTTAATATTTCAAGTTAGGATAGTTTTAAATTAGACTCATAATCATTATCAAAAAAATAAATAAAAATAGAATGATTTAGTCGATGAAAGAATATATAAAATATAGTTAAAATTAAAAAAAAAAATACAAGTACTAAGATCATGTTTAATTTCTGTTTTTAAAAACAATCTTCTATTTTTAAAAATGAAATATAGTTTAAATTTATACTATATTTTATTTTAAAAAAAAACATTTTTTAAAAATCAAACATACTCTAAATATTATTATTTTAGTCTTTAAAATTATAAGTGTCAATTATTTTAATTTATGACTATATAAAATATTTACTTTAATTATTAATTTTAGAAATATTAAAATGAAAGTTAACAATTTACTTCATTTAAAATTGATAAAATAACTTCATCAGCCTTTAACTTTATAAAATTAGGTTAAAAACGCACATCTTTTATTCAAGTTTTAAATTTGAAAATCAAGTCCAAGCAACTTTTGTAATTGAAAGATTGTTAAGTTGTGTTTAGAATTTGGGCATGCATGTTTTAATCTTTTACAATATATTCATTGTGCATTGCTTAAATACTCTTGATATTCAACGTTCTTTGACGGCAAGTGTGGTTAAACTTTCTTAATCTATAAATATTTGACAAAAGTAAATCAATCAATCAATCAATCCAACTTGATATCAATTAAGACAAAACCCAAATGAATTGCCGTAAACAAAAAAAGTCTGAAATTAATTTAAACACAAATTCTAAAATTCAAACCCTATATTGTAATGAACTTAATCAAGTTAACCATTCTCATTTTAATTTATTTTAATAAATTTGTTAATATAACTTATCAAAATAAACTTATTCAATAAATTGTATCATAAAACCTTCTATAATAAAAGCTTATCACGATAGAACTCATTAAAATAAACTTATTAATAGTGTAAATTAATGTCTAAATTTAGTTGTACTTATCATATTTAACGCTTCAGGCTTGCAAGGAAATCGATAGACTGCAACAGTTTGACATTTGAACTTTCTAAAAACATCTTTTTTCTTTCAACATTTGAAGCAAAACTAAACTTGCGTGCTAAGCATAAATTCTACAACTTTTCACCTACTAATTGCAGCCTTCCCAAAATAACAGTAAGGTCTAACGCAATTCTCATATCATCGTTTAGATGTTTCTGAACTTGCCATCATATAGAATGACAAATGTGCGCCAAAAATAATGCTCAAGCCATCTTATCTTCACAAGTCGCAATTGGAGCATTGTCATTGCCCGAGTTCTGTGAACTTTTCAATCCATCTTTAACTTCAGAAGTAAAGGAAGAGCCTCCATCTTTTGACATTCCTTCTTCAGTCTTAATAGCTCGACCAGCAAATATAACCTTATGAACACGAGATTCTTGACAAATTGAATGCAGTGATTCTGCTCCCAAGGATCCTGACTTTGTACTATCGATCATACACAAGCCTTCCTTGAAACAAGAAGTTGCAATTGAAGCATTTTCATTGGCGGAGTTTTGTATACAGTGAAATCCGTCTTTAACTTCAGAAACGAATGAGCCACCATCTTTTGACATTTCTTCAGTATTGCTTCCTTTGCCAGCACATATGATCTTACCTATATGGTGCTCTTGACAAATTGAATGCAGTGAATTTGTACCTGTAGATACTGATTTTCTATCATTCATCACAGGTAAACCTTCTTTGATAGGACAATAAGTTTCAGTTGGAGCTTTTTCGTTAGCAGAGTTCTGTAAATATTCAGATGTATCTTTAACTTCATTAGAAAAGGTCGAGCTGCAATCTTGTGGCATTTCTTCTTCAGCATTAATATCTCTGCCAGCACATGTGATCTTATCTACATGATGCTCTTGACAAATTGAATGGGATGACTTTGTGTCCGCAGATACTGATTTTATATTATCCATCGTGCAGAAACCTTTCTTGATATGACAACTCTTGTCTTTGCAAGAAGCTGAAGAAAAAACATTCTGGTTATTTATGTTCTCCAGACAATTTGATCTATCATTAAATGCAGTAAGAGCACCATCAGTTGCTCTTTTGCCTCCTACGCTGCAGGCACATCCTGTGGCATGACTGCTATTCTTATCTTGTGAATGTGTTTGATCAATAATGTTTTGTGCTTCAGCATCTGCTTTAATGTTATCCTCCTTGGTTTGAACCAATGCGCAACAGCTTTCACTAACATCCTTAACATTATAAGTTCCATGTGACGATGGTACTTGTAATTGAGAAGCACCAAGGTCGATGCCCTTCTGAGAGGTAGTACTGTTGCTAAAATTTGGGCGGATCAACTTTCTTCTCTTTGGTTGCACAACCATGAAATTCTCACTCTTTTGACTCTCATTGGTGCTTTTGATTTCATTTTCATCACTAAGTTTCCTCACTTTGCTTCGACGCTTGAAATCAACAAAACATAGTTTTTCAGCTGTTTTATTAGTATTGCCTCCACGTTCAGTAGTCAAATCCATACCATGATCTGTCAATGTATCTTCAGAGCAGTCACTCTTCATTCTTGAGCTAATGGATTGAGTTTTATCCCTCAAACTTTCAGCCTTGTTATGCTTAGGCTTTGGCTTTCTTTTTTTCATCCACTGGTTGTGTCTCTGACGAATCCTTTCCATCACTTCATCAACTGAAGTATAGAAGTCATATTTGTCATTTCGCACACTGTTTCCACTTTTTGGTTTGTTAATATCCTGCATAAAAGATAAACGAGAAAACACACTACTTTTTTTCTTTGGATGACCAAAATTATTATTTTTAGAATCACCATAACATCCAATATCATATTCATGAATTACTGGGTTACCATCAAGGGACTGACCCTCATTTGTCCATGGAACATCACGAGTATAGATTTCATTGTTTCTCTGTAGTGTTATCTCATGACTCAGATTTTCTTGCAATGTTGTCAAATGAACACTATTGCCTAAACTTGATTGGTGATTATGGAACAAGGAAGAAAAGGGCTCATGTATCCTGGTACTATTTCCAATATCTGAAGGAGGAATATGACATGATGAATACTTCAAGGAGGGAATGTTGCGAGCCTCGTATATGACAGATTCTGTTCCCAACTGGTCAGAATTTTGAGCTGCACTAAGAGGCATGCAATCCCTGTTGCTACTACTATACAATACAGAATCTTGAAAGCCTCCACCATCATTGTGCCATCTGTTCATGTCTTTCAGTTCTGGATGAATGAGACATGGTTGGCTACTCAAGGAACTCCTTCTGAAGTTGTTTGACGGAGAAATGCTTTCCATTATTGAATTGGCACCCTCATTGATTCCAACAGATGATGGCCGGCTAAAATTTAAACCAGGAACATCTGGATCATACAGAAGGGCGGTGCTCTTAGAACTAGCATCTCCTTGTGCTGCACATGAATTGTTTAAGATCTGTGCCTGGACTGGGTGAATCATAGTAGAAGTCGGCCTAAGCTGATTTTGAATCAAAGAATTATGCTCTAAATTAGGCTTGCTGTGAAAGACAGATTGGTTGACATCAGAATTATGTAAACCAGGAATATCATCAGAAAATACCATCCTCGGATCATTTTTTCGTAGGTCTTCATTCATGAACCTATCACTAATTGATAACCAGCCATCACTATAAACTCGAACTTTATCAGATGGACTTTTGGAGTATCCACCTATGATGTTTGGCCTGTGACAGGCATCCATATAATCTTCATTCTCATGTGCCGTAAATCCACTTTCATCTTTTAATGCCAAATAGTCTCTAACATATCCATTTGTAGCATCCACCGCAAGCTGAGCAGCTCTTCCTTGCTTATTTACAATAATATCACCTGCATTTAATCCAAAATATTCAACATCTCCATTGTACTGTAAAGAATCTCCCTGGCATTTATGCATTATTGTGGGTGATATGTTATCACCCACAATCTGCTCATTTTGAACACTTTCGACATGCATTCCATGATCAACAGATCTTCCAACTTTGCCTTGTGGGTACCACTTTGATTTCAAATCTTCAGTTCTGGTCAATGATCTCTCGGGAACCTCCAGTTCTAGCTTTCTTGTGCTGAACAAATATAGAAGTTTATGGACCTGCACAACACCTCAAGAAAAAATAGATTGATGTAAAATCTTTAAGAAAATTTTTCTCATGTTGAAAAGTAATCATGTACAAGAGCAGACCTGACTTTCAGATAGCCCAAAGTTAAACTTGTTAGCAGAAAAGTAGTTCCCTCTGATTGCATCACGAAATACCTTTTCTGGGAGTGGCTTGCAGAACCAAATTGGAACGAACTTAACCTACAGCAGAAGATCATTGAGAAGTAATACCACAACAGTAATCATAGAAAAACACACCCTTTGCACTCATTATCCAAAGAATGCTTTGCTCGCTCTGTAATTCAGAAAGCGATGCAATTGTGTTCTCACCTGAGCAGGGCATTGTCTCCGCAATGATGTGAAAGCATTAGGCACAATATTGATACCTCCATCACAAGAAGCCTTGAATACACCATGAAGCTGTCTGTTCTCATATTCAAATAAGAACAAAATCATTCCGGCTTTAACCTGCTCTACAAACTGGATTTCAGTTGATGGGAGGCCAAATAACCCCATCCTGAGGCATTCCCTTTTCGTTTCAGTATTTGACATAAAGATTGCACCAAAATCTGGGTCCTTTCCATCAGCATTGTTGTATTTATCATTGAATCCCATGGAGATGCGGATATATTTACTAAACTACGCTGTCACATTACAAATTTAACAATACAAATTGCGTTGTGTAAATACAGTCACATAACATAAAAATCCTTCCAAGTTTCAAATACTAACCATCATAGTCAAATTCAACACTCAATCATTTTCACATATCAATAAAATCAACAATACTAAAGAAACCCATCCTTAAGAACTTGTTAGCAACTGATTTGGGAATGCTTACGAGAAATGAAGGACATTAGCTTTCATCGATTATCAATCCAATACGATTAATCTTTAGTTCAAACCAACCAGACCTAAAATATTTTTTGTTTTTAAAATTCGCCATTTCTCCGCAGAAAAATAAAAATAAAAAAATAAAAAATCACAGTATAAACAACGATGCTATAGGATGATCGGAACACCATTAACAATCAGCGAAGAAAATAAACAAACTAATAAGAAAAATAATACGAAAAATAAATGTTAAAAAGAAAACAACATGCAATGGCTATAAAGCGTAAGGAAGCGTCATTGGAACGGCGTAACGAAGGGAAAGAAGGATTAAATAAAAGATGAAAATGTAATAATAACAAAGAAAAAGGAACGAAGAGAAGTGAGAATAAAAGGGAAGAGCGTACCGATGAGGAAGGGAAAGAGGGTTCGAGAGTGAGGGATGGAAAGCGAGAAAGACGTGATTGTGTGAGTGACGAGACTTTCTCGTTTGCAATATATATAGAGTCGTAATGCTAATGCCAATGTTAATGCTATCGATCGCTCTTATTCATTCTAGACGCGACCGTACAAATGATATGTGGATCATTTTTTTTGTTATAAAGTGTGGGTCTTCTTATTGTACCTTTGTTCCATTAATTAAATAATAAGATAAAACCACTTTTTTGCAGGACTCTTTGTTACGGGTGACACACGGCATGTATACTAAACACTGTTTATACCAATTATCTATTTCACCAATTAGATTAATTAAATTAATTTAGCTTTTTTTATATGCATAATTAATTTGGTTGTAAGGTTTATATCTTCTTCAAATCAAATTAACTCGAATCAAATTATTCTTTTCAGGTATACTTTTTTGTATTTTTAGAATTTAAGAAAAGTTTTCATTAACATATATGTTTTAATTATAAGTATAAATTGGATCACGTAAGATAAAAAATTTCTATTTGTATTTATTGAAACTCAAATTTAAAATTACATATAATAATTTTACAACAATTAATTCATTTAATTGATAATTTTATCAGGTTAATTTAATTCAAATTTATTAATTCCAAATTTAATAAAGTAATTTTAATTGATTTAAAATTTTTCCTTTTAAAATAAACAGAACCTATTTATACACACACTTATATGTTTCCACAACTAGATAAACGATAATTAATAACTATTATTTTTGTTAATATCAATCTTTAAAATTAATTCTAAAAATTTAAAAGAAGTAAATTTTTATGATAAAAATATTTAATATAATAAATAATTTTTAAAAAGTAATATTTATTAATTTTAAACATTTAAATTAGTCTTAATAAAAAGTTAATATTAATATTATCTATAATTACTTCATTTACTGCATAATTTCTTTTAAATATTAATAAAATATTTGTAATTAAAAATATTAAAAAACAAGTAATAAAAATGTAAAAGAAAAAAAATATAAAATAAGTGAACAATTAATCAACGTTAAAAAAAACAAATAAATAAGTAATAATAATTATTTAATCAATTATAATTATTAACTAATAAATACAATAAAAAGAGAAGAACTTTGAATCATTTATTTGAAGTTAAATTTGGTCTTAAAAAAGATATCTAAGTTATTTGAATTAGAAGCGATTTAAAGAATACTTTCTCATTAGTTTTGAATATTTAGAACAATTATTGTACTTTATATACATTAATAAATTATATAAAAAATTTATTGAAATTTATCATATTTATTATGTTTATTTATATTTGTAAGAAAATAAATTAATTAGCTGATAAATTAAATAAGATAATTGTAAAAGATATTTTTGCCTTATACTTATCTTCAGAACACACAATTTTCCTTGTATCTTTGTTTGTGTCTCAATCCCATTGGCATTTGGACTCTTAAGACTAAATATCATGTTTGTCCAATGAAACAAACTCTAACTTCAAATTATGATAAATTGACTACCAGCAACAAATTACATTCCAATAAATTAAACCTAAATTTTAATTAAAATTCACAATCCAAATCCTTGTTTGAATATATAAAATGATGAGCTCATTAAGTACAAAACTTATTTTGGAGTCTATTTTGTCACGGACCCAACCAAAGAAAACAAATTTTATCTTTGACTTGTTATTTTGAAAACAAGACGCGAAAAGGAAGTTAAATGAAACAAAACATGACATGAAACATAGCACTGAAAAGGGATATTGGGATAGGTTATGGCTTCATAGATGCAGGTGTAGGTGACCACATCTGAGGGTGGTTATTGTGTGGGATGTAGATATAGTTATTTCACTAGTTGTTTAATAAGTGAACACTATAGAATGAATGTTTTGTTGGGTGTGATGTTGCCAAAACTAGTAGTTTGTAGGGTACACACTATTTGGGAAGAAAATGACAAAACGTTGAGGCAAAAAAAAAAGAATGAAGCGCTTATGCTTCTAAAGAAAAAAGTAAGCAAGTGTAAGGTGACATGTTGCTGTTAAGATTGAAAGTGATCAATCTATTAATCCCTCTCACTAGTATTTACTACCCAAACACACTCACGATCTCGCCTACAGAACTCCACGTAAGGGCATAGAGAATTCTAAAGAAAACTCAATGGTATTAATTTATGCCTATTACAATGGAGATTACATCATTTATATAGAATGAATCATCCTATTTGTCACTTCCACGAATTTCGGCTAAAAATACACTATTTTGATTTATTTGTCACCTACGATAATTCTACTTTTGACTGTTTTACAATTAACTCTCTATTCCACATATTATAATTCCCCTCCTCCCCATCTGAGGGCCTTGCCCCCAAGGCCCTTTTTGTTAGCGGTGCCAATAATAATTGTTCCCATTTTACATCTGGATATTGTTGCTTCAGCGAGTGTAACTCATGCCACGTAGCATCTTCGAGACCCATAGGTTGCCAATGAACCAAGATTTCTGTGACAGCCTTGTTGTCTTTCTTCTTCATTCTCCTTGCTAAGATATCTACAGGTGTCATCTCCAACCGACCTTCATTGTTAAATGTTGGCAATGTTGTAGAAACTAGCTTGTCCCCACGATGCTTTTTAAGTAAAGAGATATGAAATACATTGTGCAGTTTAGCTACAACTGGTAGCTCCAACCTGTATTCGACTTGGCCAATTTTCTCTATTATCTAGTAAGGCCCATAATATCTTGCTGCTAATTTGTGAAAAGGAGCATTAGGAATAGAGTGTTGCTTGAATGGTTGGAGTTTAAGATACACATAATCACCAATTGAAAACTCTCTTTTTGTCCTCTTCTTATCAGCATAAAACTTCATTGTTGCCTGAGCCTTTCGTAGATTTTCCTACAAAATTTTTGCTATTTCTGCTCTTGTCTTTACAATATGATCTATTGCATGAACCAATGAATCTCTAGCTAAAAATGGATCAATTGTAACTGATTTATACCCATAAAGGGCTTCAAAAGGTGTAATACCTGTGGTTAAATGGTACTTAGTGTTATACCAAAATTCAGCATAACTCAAGAAATTGGTCCACTTTGCTGGCATGTCCCCTGTAGAGCATCTTAAGTATTCTTCCAAGACTTTATTCAAAGCTTCAGGTTGCCCATCAGTCTGTGGGTGAAAAGCAGTGGATTTAAGCAATTTAACTCCATCTAACCTGAATAGTTCTTTCTAAAACTTGCTCATAAAGCTTGAGTCTTTGTCAGAGACAATTTCTGTAAACTAACCGTGTAATTTAACCATTGTGTCAATGAAAACCTGAGATACTTTGGCAGCATTGATAGGGTGACTTAGAGCTATGAAATGTGCATATTTAGTCAGCCTATCAATAACTACTAGTATTATTGTTTTCCCATTTGATCTTGGTAACCCTACAATAAAATCCACGGCTAATGATTGCTAAGCTTGATTAGGGATTGGAAGCAGTTGTAAAAGGCCTCCAAGTGAACATAACTGAACCTTGCATTTCTAGCATACTTCACACTTTTGTACTCAATTCTTAACACCTTGTTGCATGCTTTTCCTATAAACTAGTTATTTCAATCTAGCATAAGTCTGAGCTTAACCTGAATGACCCCCAATTGGAGATTCACGGAAGTATTTAAGGAGTTGATTTCTTACTTCATCTCCCTGTCCAACTACGACTTTGCCATGTTTTTTCAGCACTTCACCTTGCTAAACATATTTCTTGTACGGTTGTTGAGTGAGCCTTATTTTATTAATAATCTTTTTAAGTTTGTCATCTGATTGTCAAGTTCCTTTTATAGTTTACAACAGATCAGAACCTATTTGTTAAATGGCTACTAAGTTACCTTCTGAATTTCTTCTAGATAACCCATCTGCCATTGTATTCTCCTTGCCTTTCTTGTACTCTATAGAGAAATCTAATCCCATCAATTTTTCAGCCCTTAATTTGCATCATTGTAGTAGGTGGTTGCTCCAACAGATGTTTTAAAGGCTTTTGATAAATCTTTATTACAAAGTGGTTCCTTAGGATGTAATGCTGCCATTTTCTAACAACAAAAAAGATTGCATAAAATTCTTTTTCATAGGCAGATAATAACTGGTACCTCATTTCCATAGCTTTGCCAATATATGCAATTGGATGACCTTTCTGCATCAACACAACTCCTATTCCAATACCAGAAGCATCTGTTCCTATTGTGAATTGTTTCTCAAAATTTGGAAGAGCCAAGATAGGAGCTTTAGTTAAAGATACTTTTAAGGACTGAAATGCTACTTCTCCCTCCTCATTCCAGTTAAATTTAGCTTCTTTTTTTAATAGAGATGTAAAAGGTTGAGCTAATTTTCCGTAATTCATTATGAATCTTCTGTAATATCCTAACAACCCCAAGAATCCCCTTAGCTGTTTGTAATTTTGAGGAGTTGGCCATTGCTGAACTGCTTGGATCTTCTCAACATTAGGTGCAATTCCTTGTTTGGAGATCACATGTCCTAAAAATTTCACTTTCTCCTTAGCAAAACTATATTTCTTTTTTATCAACACTAAAGCATTCTGTTGTAGCACTTAGAGAGCTAATTAAATGTGTCGTAAATGTTCTTCTCATTATTTTGAGTATATAAGAATGTAAAAAAAAATTAGAATGAATTTTCTTAGATATAGCCGAAAGACATCACTCATCAAATTCTGGAAGGTGGTTGGAGCATTTGTAAGTCCAAAAGGAAGAACTACCCACTCATAGTGCCCATTGTGGGTTCTAAAGGCAATTTTTGGAATGTCATCCTCCCACATTCTTACTTGATTATAGCTACTTTTGAGATCCAATTTATTGAAGTACACAACCCCTTCTAACTCATCCAACAAGTCTTCAATTAGTGGAATTGGAAACTTGTTCTTCACAGTAGCATAATTCAACTTTCTATAATCTATACACAACCTCCATCCACCATCTTTTTTTTTAATCAAAACTATTGGAGAAGCAAAAGCACTACTGCTTTCTCTGATGAAACCAGTTTTCAACAAGTCTTCAATCATCTTTTCAATTTTTATCTTTTGTGCATAAGGATATCTATAGGGTTTAGAACT